ATATACATATAATTCTTTTATTTACGTTATTTTTTAAAGTAACTTTGCTAATAATGCTCTGAATATAAAATGATAATATTTTGATATCCATTAAAGCAATTATTTTAAAAAAAGTTTTTCTAACCTATTACTGCTTTTCCGTAATATGGCATATAATTTTTACAAAAGTTGAAAATAATCCGAGAAAGACTTCTTTATTGTCATTTATCTTGATAAAAGAAAAAGGGAGATATTTAAAGGAATTAAAAATATTAAAAAAAATACACATTTGTGGATCTGAAAACATGATTTGTTAGTTCATAGGTAATCAAAGCTATAGGTAACAATAGAAAAAAATTGTAAATGCCCTTTTTCAATAGAGAAGTTGTTTTTTCACATCAATGCATACAGAAACAAATATAGATAGCTAATTTATTGTAAATGAAATTTCTAAATAACATGATTTTATTACTTCAACCTTAAGTTAATGAAATCAAAAAATAATTTTATTTTCTTATAATTTACTAAACTTAATAAAGAATAAGTTTCTCTGCCATTGAATATAAAAGATAAAGTTTTAGGTCAAAGTTCAGTATCCTCTACTAAGTGCCAAGATTTATAATCTAGTTGCTTAGCAATGCGCATGCTCATCATAGTTCACGAACCATGTTAGAAATCAAAACTTAAAATAGAATGACTTACAAATGTTGTGCATTTTTTATAGAATGAATGTTAGAATGTTTAGTATTGATCTTATTATTTGTTCTTCTCAATCCAAAGTTATACCAAAAAAATCAACTATGTACATTCAGGAATAAAACATCTCAACTCAGCACAACGATTCTATACATTTTTTATTTGTTTTATGAAACATTCTAAAGAATACCACAACTTTTAATGCTGAGGTTGGAATGTTTATGTGCTGAGGGATTTCCCTTTAACGGGAAAGGATTATGATAATCCGGCTTCGAGGGAACTAGAAGGGGGGTGCAACACGCTCCAAAATTACGCAAGGATACAAAATCGATTATTCGCGCAGCCGCTGTTACAACCCGCCGCACCTACTCGCTCTCCAAACGATTTTAGTAGTGAGTCTTCTTACTACAGAATTCGAATTTCATTAAACTGTTCTGGTGTAGAGTGAGATGGGACTCCTAGTGGGCGTGTGCAATGAACTCTGGTGGTGGAAAAACTGTGTAGAACAATAGTTCCCCACTTTAAATGTTCTGGAATTGAAAGAGCATGTATATATTTGAAGTAAAGCCATCGTTTGGACGTAGCTGAGAATGAAGAAGTTGTAGTTCTTAAACCCCGAGAACTTATCATTTGGTAAAGATTCATAGTCATTGATCGAATTCGATGCCTTTCTCACAGTTTTAAAAAGTGAGAGTAGGAAAGAAATATTCGTATGAAAAAAAAGAAAACTTCGATTTTATATGTGAAGCAAGTCATGAGACAAGACCTCGATACTGAAAATTCGATTTCTAATCAGTTTTGTGTGTACGTTCATCGATCCGTTAATTTCTTCAAGATCAAATTAACAAGTTTGGAATTATGAATGATCGTTTCTTAGTTTTTAAATATTTGCAAAAAGAATTTGCATAATCATCAAAACACTAGTTAAAAAGAAATTTTTTATTATGAAATTCTGTTTAATATGAAAACTTTTTATATGTGTATATGCTTAAGATAATAAATTATTCATAGTAAAAGTTTATGAATGAAATTAACGAACGGCTTACTTCTTGTGCCGTTAGGTTTGAAATTATAAAAAAATAATCTTAACTGATTAAAGTTTCAAATTAAGTTTTTATTTTTAATTAATTAATTTATTTTCAATATTCTACAATGCTGAAAGAATACTTCAAATTTACTACAAACAAAGAACTTTATTCTGAGTTGGCAATCATCCAATTTTTTTCCAAGTTCTATAGAGCATGTTAAAAAACTTCGACATTCGCGGCTCGAAGAAAATAATTACGTTAAAATGGATATGTTTTTGTTTAATCATTTCTGCATGTGAGTATAAAACAAAATAATTAAACATTGATAGGTTATACGAAATCCGCCAAACTTTTCTTCCAACAATGTCTGCCAGGGATATGTACGGCCCGGGGATAACCGGCCCGCCGGTGGCCAGGTCACCCAAGCCTTCATCACGTCGCTTAGATATGACGGGTGGCTATGGTTTATCCCAAAGCAGCCCACCGGTCACCACCAAGATCTACCCGTCGGCTTCCATATCTCAACCACCTTCAGCCCGAGCCAGTCCGGTATCCGGCCGTCCCTCCACTTCGCCGTCCCGGAAGGGACGTCACTTTGGCATCAGCAGATCCAGCAACAGCAGCCCCCTGACTCTGCCGACCCTGGGCGACCCGGGCATGAATATGCCCCACTCGTACAGCAGTGGTTTTGGAGAAGGATATTATGGCATGAGTGAAGATCCGATGATGGATGGAAGAGGTATGGTGCATCGAAGTCGATCGGTGACTAGGACCCCTCTGAGAGGTGCGTACCAGTTTTTCGACCGTGATCCGGAACGTGACATGGGCATTGGCTTAGGTAGAGATAGGTGAGTGCTCCTTAAATTTTTATGCGCATATTTTTAAATTAGAAAATAATTATACATTTTATAAATTTATTATTATTAGAAATATTTATGCCTGATACAGAAAAAAAAAATCTATCACAACAATTCACAATATTTTCACAAGGAGTCATATTACATTTTCACACGATGATATGATTTAGCATAACACTTATTACTGTCTGAGAATCCCGAGATGAGCTCTCAGTGAAGTTCATTTCAGTTAGGTTGGAGGCTCATCTCGTGATTGCCAAACAGTACTGGTGATGTAAAATTAAATACTCTTTTTATTTAACACTAAAATTAATGCAACTGTTGGCTTAATTATTAATTGAGGAAAATTGTTAAGTATCAATTGAATTATTAATTATTAATTAAGTATGACTTAATATTTCAGAATAATTTTATGAACATTATAATACGCTACTTAGGTTATTGATGATAAAATTTGAAAATGTTTCATACATTTTTTAAAAACTATATGAATATTTATATACTTATTTAGAGAGAAGTTAGTTCAGGTCTTATGTGCTATAATTTGAAATTGTTAACTACAATTATTCTCATTAGTAGTGAAACAACGAAATTATAACCATAAAAAACAATAGCAATTTAGAACAAGAGAAATTTGAAAATAATAGTAATTTGCAGTAGTAATTTAGAAATTACACAAAAAAGAGGGAAAAAAACAACAATAAATTGATATATAACTAAAGGCAGTTTATTTATAAAAAATATTAATGGATAACATTGGTATGAAAGACACAATCAATTCATACACATATTTATTCAAGTTTACATATTTATGCAGATNACTTTACTTTTTGGGGATTTTATGAACTGAAAAATGACAGTTTTCGTGAGAATGACCCATATATATATATATATATATATATATATATATATATAGATTATAATTGTATATAATTCGAAAAAAAACTAGAAGAAAACAGCTGACTATATAATATGAAAAAACACAAAAGAAATTTATAATGAATAAAAAGGAAAAAAATATGAATTATTATTTCTTTATTTATTAAAATCAGTTTTGCTTTGAAATTTGCCACGATCTTTTTTTATTTATTTTTTAGGCAAAACTTATTACGATTTCAGTGAGATTTTTACAGTATCATTTTCTAAACAAAATTGCATATAATTTAAGCAAAATAGTTATTGATAATCATTATTTTTAATATTACAATAAAAACTATGAGAATCATTATTTATTTTAAAACTTATTCTCTTATATATTCGCTGACGAATTGAATAAATACAAGATTTGAGACTTAATTAAACTCATTATTTATGTAATTTCAATAGTAGCTTAAAATTTGGGATTAATTTAATTATTAAAATAAAAATATCCTTTTAATTTCTATGAATATTAATTTTATTGAAAATTATGTTTCAAACTTCTATGGTTTGATTCAAGTTGTATTTTGTTTCTTAATTTATAGCTTTTTTAAAAAATTTTTTTTTATGAGAAAAACTTTTTTTGAATGTGTTGCATTCTTAATCTAAATATGTATCAATAAAATCCCAGCAATTTATTCTAAGATATTATCCAACGTAAATTAAAACTAAAGTAGAAATTTTATAATAAAATTTAGCAGTAGATAAATAGTTTATTGTAATATGGGAGATTGACTCTTCCTTGTGTTAAGAATGTTTCTCAATCGCGAAAACGACATCAGATAGAAACATTCCATTCAAAATAGTTGAAGCTATGTTCCATTTAAGTCGACCATGTAACTTAGTTGAAAAAAATTTATATTTACTTTTTTCTGTTTTTTCTGATTAAATTTCGTATATATAAAAAATCGCATTTAAGTGCCTAACAATATGAAGACCACGTGTTTAATAGTATGCTTTAGCGTAAGAATTATTCATTATTTTTTGCTCACTGTTTAAAAAGGTCTTTCAAAATTGAGCAAAAATGTTTTAAAATAACTCCGAAACATGTAATAGTTGAATTTGAAAACCCCATGTTTTTAAAATTGCAACAGCATATACTCATGTATGAGAGAGATGTTCGTTGGCTGCCTGCCGGATTCAAATCAAGGACGTCCGGAATTGTAGTAGGATGCTTTATCAGCTGTAATTGTACACCCTAGTCCAGAGAGAATTAAGAAGCTTCATATACTGGCCGCCACAATGACACACAGTGCCTGATTATTGCCTAGGCCCAATAGACATGGGCCTAGGGCCCACAATTTCTGAGGGGTCTCAAAAATTAGTAAAAAGTCTAATGGACGGTGGGATAGCTTTGTATTGGCTTAAGTACTAAATAAAAAAATAATTACAGCTTACAATAAAAAAATTATTCAGCTAATCAGTGACTTTTAGCAAAAATCACTGATTTTAATTGTTTGTGGTGACCAAATTATTTTTATTTTGACATAACATTGTTTTGTTGTTTTATATTTTGTTTTAATTTATAGATACGTAAGCTTCATCTTAGAAAAATAATCTTCAACTGTCTGCTTTCAAAATTTCTTAGAATGTTTATCTTGAATCATGCAGTTCAATAGATTCTTTTCTATTGTTGGGACTGATTACTCAAAATATTATGTAATCTTCAGTAATTTAATTTCAAAATATTTTGTAAGGGGCCCGGAGAATTTGGTGGGCTTTGAGCCTGAATTTGTCTTGATCGGTCCCTGATGACACATCATGACATACTAATTCATAATTTCGTTGATACCAAGGGTTGCAATTGAAAATTGGGTCCCAATAGCTCAGTCAAGAGAGCGGAAAGATTAATTAAATTTTTTGCTTTTTTCGTTGCATCTTAGAACCACTTAAGCGAATGGAATGAACATCCTGATGTGTTATTGTGGCGGTCACTATATAGAGCTTAGTAACTCTTCATGAGCTGGGGTCTACAACTATTTTGTTTTGTCCTTGACTCGAGGAATCCTGCCGATAGCCAACGAACATCTCTTTCACACATTTCTCCCTCCACACGCATTCTGCTCAAAAATGAGTACTTACTGTTTTAATTTTAAATTTCGATTATTATTTGTTTCGAAAATATTTTGACACATTTTTGCTCAATTTTGAGAAGCCCTTTTTTAGCAGTGTGCAATAACTTAAAGCAGCCATATTTGTTTCGTCATGTGCTGCCAGCAAAAACCACACTTTTAATGCGTGGGTGAAATCATGTAATGGTCACTCGTCTGGTTTTCTTTTAAAATTAGTTTTTTTTTCTTTGGTAGTCATTGTTTTTTTATCCAGTAGATTTATTTTCCATTTGGGGATTCTTAACTTATTGAAATAACTATTTCTCCCTTGGGATTATATGACTCATGGGAAAAACCACCATCTAGCCAGAAAAATAGTAGAATAGTTAAGAAAAATAGTAGAATAGTAGCTATGCACATAAAAGCTTCCTAACTTATCATTTCTAATAGTATAAAGGATGGGTTTTGAAGGAAAATTTCTATAAATGATCATTTTATAAAAACGCAAACTTTAACCGGTGGGTTCGTTCTAATTTTTTTCAAATGCTACTCTAAATTACCTCAGTAAAATTATTGTCTAAATTTTAAATTTTGAAATTTATAAATTACATTATAAAAAATTATTATTTAGCAATAATATTTAGTTTACGATTTACGTGATGGAAATATATTTCGCAAAATCTACCTCTTAGATGCAAATTAAAATTCTTTAAATAATAGAAAATTTTCAGTAATTAAATAAATATAAAGAAAGGAGGAAAAATGAAGCAAGGTTTTTTCAAACCTTGCACTCTCTTTTAAAATGGTACATGACATGTAGATTTTATGAAATTTTTTTTTCACAATAACTCAATAGGTGTACATAATTAAATGTTACTTGTTGTTGCAAGTAAATGAATGTATCGTTGTTTGAATGAGCAAAATATATTTTGCGAATTGTTTTCTTTTCCAAAATAAAAAAATAATAGGAGTTAAGGTGTTTTGTACAAATGAAACATAAATTTATGTATAGCTATTCTATGAAAAAATATGAAACTTAAAAATTGAAACAACTTATGGGGGCCAATTTTATCATGCTTACAAACTGCGAGATTGTTATCAAACAACACATATATTTTTACTTGGGAAAGAATTTTTTGATAAAATGGATTTTGCTACCAAAAAAATGACCAAACCAAACTTTGTTACCAAACTTTCTTAAAATACACAAATCTCAATGTATTCCAATTATTGTTTTGATTAATTATTAATAGATTACTTATATACAATAACAGAATTTTATAAAAATTATTGAGATTTGTTGTAACTTGTGGAAGTAAGTATCCAGTAGAAATAGATTTGTGTGTCTCGGCTCCCTAATTTTTATCAGAAGCAAAGTATTGTACTCGAAAAGAAGTTTTTATTATAGAAATAGTAAATTAATATTTACAAAGCGAAAATATTAAAAAAAATCTCTCCTAACCAGAAATATACCCAAATCATTACTTTTCTGCAACGATGAAATATAGTGCTATATATTTCAAGTAATTTTGCTATAGTATTGGTCAAATGAATTTGAATCCCAAATATGTTATTTAGGCAGCATTTGAAGGACGCATAATTTCTTCTGTTTGGTGATTGATTCTTGGCATCAGATATTGTCATACCAAAATCAAAATAGTTCTCTAGTTATCTATTACATCTATCATATAACTATCTATCATGTAACTGTCTATAAAATTGGTGTTTAGCATTGCATTGCCTTTTGCTGATTGAATCTATACATTGAAAGCAAACAGGTTCATTAAGATGAATTCTATTTGTATGAGTGATAATTTATACTCACATCTTTTCTCTTATACATTTTTGACTTCTTCCCTTTATGGCATTACTACCATTATCTTTAAGCTACATCAGAGTCAAAATCGTTCCATTATTACCCGTTAAAATAAAATAAGATCTTTATTGTAAGTTGTAGCTATCAATCTTTTCCAGGAAAATGTTGAAATCTTTATGAAGCAAAATTCATTATAATGTAAAATT